TTTGAGTGTAATACCAGTAGCTCTTGAGGCCGGTTGAGTCAGTGTGGTTCTCCAGATTGTGGACGACTGCTGACAGCTCTGTGGGTTCGCTTTGAGACGGTTAGAAGGAGTTCGGAAGTTCTTGAAAGGCAATATGCTGAAGTTAATTTTCTTTGCCGCACTGATCGGCAATGCGCTGGCGGTGAGTTATATATTTCTTATCTGAGAAGAGGTATTTTTTTTAGTGTGCGAGGATATTTTTCATTCTAAGACGGGTATAATAATTCGAACGTAGAATATGATTTTTATGTGATATATAGTAAACAAGTAAACTTTTATATATAAACATTATTTATTATAAACGTTCCTTCTGATGTGTCCTCTGTCTGTCTTCTAGGACCTGATCTCTGTTTTTTTAAATAGTTTTATCTAGTATAGTTTCTTTCCCCTCACTAGTTATCATGTTCCATCTTCCCCTATGTTCATTCCATTTTAATTTTCATGAGTTTTTTCTTCTATATGTACGTAACACCTTGCTTCTAGTTTCATTCAACAGTACAGGAGATATCAAAATCTATTCGCGTTTAGTTGCATCTTATGAAGTTTCTCCTCCTCACTGTTTTAGAAGGGTGGGGGAGGGGGGGGGATTCCTTGTATGGTCGAGTCTAGGGCAATATTTCTCCGTTGGTCTTCGGGAACATTAATGGTCAAGTGTTCATAATGTTCGTAAATAAGGCGTTACTATAACGGTCAGGCTACATAACTGCCACATTTCTCACCGTGGATCAAGAACTCAACACTTTATTAACCAACCCTTTCTCTCGTACGGATCACGATGTAGGATCTATTGGTGAACCGAATACAACGCTCATCATGTAGACGTTCATAGTGCTTCTCGCTACAGTGGTACGAGCGGAATCAGGAATTCACAACGATGGTTAGAGGGCCTACAAGTATCCAAGGCCTTTGGTTCGAATACAGGCCGATGAACCAGTGACTGAATTTCGTGGAACCGCAACCACCCGCTAGTGTCCATAGACCATAGAATCAAACTCGAATATCCATTATTCTCAGATCACGAAGACGCTTGCAGTCTGAAGTCCTTTTTATCACTGCTATCTATTTCCATACATCCCTTTCGAGTTAACACATACCACATACCCATGTACAAACCAAGTCCTTAATACAAACAGCAATTCTCATTTATTTACCGATCACTTATATTCTTACAAAAAAACAACAAAAAAACAACAACAATCGTCGAATCAACAATTTTGTGTTTTTAACATTTTTATATTTTGGTTGACTTCACACTTCCCTCTCCAGGACTGTTTGGCTGTTGTGCTCCTCAATACCTCCTACTGTTATGTAACATGTAAACACGGAACAGAAAAGAACAGATAATGGAGTAAAGAGGTAAAGAAATCCAAGGGGGGGGAGGTAAAGTGTTGAAATATAAGGAAGTTAGAGGTTAGGAAAGTAGGGTGGCGAAAACCCCTTGCATAGTTTTATTTGTAAACACATATATGTATATGTATGTATATATGAGTGTGCCTCCCAACGTACCCCTTTGAACAATGCCGCGAACCCCAGTTTGGACAATCCGGCCGAAGACCCCATTTTGTATTGCATATCTCCCTTGGCAGACATTATCTCAGACATTCCCCTTCCTCTTGTATCAGATTTCTTATCACTTCTGCCGCTTGATTGTTGCTGCTTACCTGCACTGGCTTTCGTCTTCCCTGCCTCAGCTCACTTCCATCCTTCAGTTGCTATAATTTTTCTCTTTTAAGAAATATATGTTTTCTCTGCAACTGTATTCCTGATTCTTTATTCGCTCAATTACACGTTCATATATATATATATATATATATATATATATATATATATATATATATATATATATATATATATATATGTCAGGGTAGAGACTGCAATCTGGTACAATCTGAGATTCTACCAGTAGAGACTCCGATCGGAGTTTCTACCAGTAGAGTCTCCGATTGCAGTCTCTACTGGTAGAATTTGAGATTCTACCAGTAGAGATTCCAATCAGTTTCTATTGGTAGAGTCTCTAATCCAAATAACCATTTTTATTTGATGATCAATGTCTAGCTAAATTTGCACTGCATACTAGTCCTCTGTAGTATTGTATTAAAAGACAACTAAATTGATTTAACCATTTTTATTTGATGATCAATGTCTAGCTAAATTTGCACTGCATACTAGTCCTCTGTAGTATTGTATTAAAAGACAACTAAATTGATTTAACCATTTTTATTTGATGATCAATGTCTAGCTAAATTTGCACTGCATACTAGTCCTCTGTAGTATTGTATTAAAAGACAACTAAATTGATTTATCAGATAGTCAATGTGATTTTGTTCAGTTTTTTATGCAAAAGAAAAGTCTACAATACAATACAATACAATACAATACAATACAATACAGAATCAGAGACTCAACCAGTAGAAACTCTGATCGGCGTCTCTACGGGTAGAATCTGAGATTCTACCAGTAGAAACTGCAATCGGAGACTCTACTGGTAGAAACTCCGATCGGAGTCTCTACTGGTAGAATCTCTGATTCTACCCGATTGCAGTCTCTACCCTGACATATATATATATATATATATATATATATATATATATATATATATATATATATATATATATATATATATATATATATATATATATATATATATATATATATATATATATATATATATACATATATGTGTGTGTGTATGTGTGTATATACAGATAGTCCCCTACTTAAGAACATTCTACTTATGAACATTCCATACATACAAACAATTTTTTTTAAGTACTAAAGTCCAAAAGATTGTTTGAAAGATGCTAGCAAACTTCAAAATTCCCGGGTACGAATATAGTTCAAGAGTCTGATACTGTATAAGGTATGTCGTACTTATTGGGATTTATTTACAGGTATTCTTATTGTAAACAAAACTTTAAAACAATGGGAAAAAAGGGATTGGAAATCTATCTATCAATATATCAACACTCCATCCCGCACACACATAGGTATCTATCTATCTGTCTATCTCTCCTCCCACTCTCTCTCTATCTTTCTATGTATACACATACACATATCCACACACACACATATAAATATATATGTATGTAGATATATATATATATATATATATATATATATATATATATATATATATATATATATATATAAAGAGAGAGAGAGAGAGAGAGATGGGGAGGGGGGGGATAAAGGTATTATCATGAATAAAAGGAAGCAGTAAGAAACAGCCACTCTAATTTGAACGAGAAATTATAATACTAATGGCACCACTCTCACTCTTCTATTACGTAACCTATGCTTTTGTTTCAATGCAATCTGCTGGCTGGACAAATTCTTGAGTGGTAAGGGGAGGTGACTGTTAAAAGAAAACTGCTGCAAATTTGACGTGAGTTTTGACGCCATCGCAGGAGAATAAAATTGGGAACTACTAATCTAGGAAATTCCTGTCCCGATAAGTAATCGCCCATCACTCACACGCAATCTCGAAATATTGGAAAAATACTACATCATGAAAACAGGCATACATTCTGAACTAAAGGATACCGCTCGTCTTCCTTAAATACATACAAATTTGATGCCACACTTTTATAGCATGAAGCAATGCCACTGTAAAAGAAGTCATCAGACGCTGTATACAAACCGAAATGGATCTATCATATTATTTTACATGAACACAGACCTAACTCGTCCAGTCATTCTTAATCCCCAGCATTCTCTATGAGTCACTTCCCAGAGTAGAAATCTTGATTGACGCAATTTCAGCTGAAGTATTCCAAAGGTTTTGTCGTGGTTTAACGAAAAATAATTATCGCTCCATATCATGCCTCACCTTCATCTAAATCCGACTGATAACAAGTCGACCGAAGATATGACGTAAAAGAATAGAACTCACATAGGTGAGTGGCGAGTCATCCGATATTTTACTTATTTTGGTAATCCTGATATTGTAGATAAAACAACACCGGAAATATGAACAAACACCATGTAAATGTTTGCTGGAAAATTATGGGTCCCGATGTATTCTTGAATTAATTAATCTGCAACTAAAGGTAACTGACGTGTATGAGACTATTTTGATGGCTCCAATTATTAACTAAAGCAGAAATAAGTAGTAAATGATATATGTATTGCAGACCGTCTAAGTAACCCATTGATAAAGTCCTTATCCGGAGGAGGTTAATTACAAGTATTTGAAACATTCTTGTGTAATTTAAATGCCCGTTCTCCACAACAGGAGGGCATCACGCAGCAGCAGGAGATCTACATAGTAGCGGGCGTCCTTGGCGGCGTGTGCCTTTTGCTTACGGTCGCCTGCATTTTCAACACCATTACTATCCTCGGGTAAGTTGTATCGTACATTAATTAATACGATGTATTACATTATAAGTAGTAAAGTGCAAAATATATGACTGAATTTGGTGCCTACTCGCATGACAATACAAGAATCGGTGAACATCCTCCAATATCATACTGATGTTCAGTCATATTCTTTTTCGTGCATGACATATTCTCATACATTGAAATTATTTACCATCAGCTTACAATCGAAAGTAGCACTACTACAGGCTGCTGGCACGGCCGCTGTAAAGGCAGTTACAGAAACTCAACCGCCACGTAGTGAAGCACCAAGAAGGTAAATTCCCGTGATTTTAGTCCGATGCCTTTAGTTTAAGGTTTCAGTTGTTTTCCTTTCTAAAATTTCGTATTTTCACTATAATAGAATTGATCAATTTTCATTATTTTTCCACATACAGGCTTCTTTATCTTACTTATATACATTCATCACCCTACCAGTTGTAGGGTAGACAGCCTGTAATAACTCAATGTAATTTACCAAATTTACCACTAATTCCTACAGAGAGCCACCTCGTGACAACTCTTATTACCCTGAGCCGAAGGGCAGGGACGACTTCAACCGCACAAACCGACAAGACGACCCCTATCGTCGCCCTCCTTCTCGCGAAAACTACAGGATGGAGAGGATGGACAGGGCAGAGAGGTATACCTGACTGTGTAGATTGGTTAATGATGCACCAGATGTTACCTGCCAGGATTATTTACCATTGAAGATAAGTTGTATTGAAGGGGTAGATCCAGGGTTGGTTCTTTGGCTGTTCAAGAATTCTCATTAACTTGAATTGATAATTCCTTGTTAATCATACATTATTAAAAGGAAAAAAAATCAACTCTAATCACTGTAATAACAGTGGCTTTATAGGAGTTACTTCAGTTGCCTGTTTTATATATGCATGATGCTAAAGCACTATACCATGAGACCCTAAGAAATCAGACCTCAGTTACTGTTCTTCTACACTGCTCTATAACATACACTTTTAGTAGGCAATTTTAGTATATTTCCCCCATAAATCCTACATCCCACTGCACATGCACTGTTTCCAACATTATTCCCTGGATCTACACCTGAGGCAGACCATTAATTATTCATTTTGTGATGTTTCTGGCAGAAAGTGCAGTTCACTTCCATATTTAGTCTTTGGCTTAAATGTTATACAATTGCTTTTTGTAGGGTGGTATTTTGTAGATTTGATGGCTTGTAGTTATTAATACATTTTAGGCTTGCATGTGTGTTTTTAGTTCTTTAAATATATATATATATATATATATATATATATATATATATATATATATATATATATATATATATACATATATACATATATACATATATACATATATACATATATACATATATACATATATACATATATACATATATACATATACATATATACATATATACATATATACATATATACATATATACATATATACATATATACATATATACATATATACATATATACATATATACATATATACATATATATATATATATATATATATATATATATATATATATATATATATATATATATATATATATATATATATATATGTATATATATGTATGCTAAATACCAAAAAATATATGTCCATAGACTGTACTGAATTTCATGACTGAAAACATTCTATAGATTCAGTCTGCTTAAATTAATTTGTACACCTTTTTGCAAGTAGCCTGCCTTCTTTATTCACACTGTTGAAGTGATAATGTAATGAAATGCTGAACTAAGGTTTTAACAATCTTTCTTTAAATGCTCTTTGATTATTTTTTTGAACTTGGTGAGACATCCTTTAATAATTCTTTGATCATGCAGCTTGTGTAGCAGTTTTTCTTTTCTTTTTTATAATCAGTTCTAATATAAGCATTAAAAGTCTTTTACTAAAGATTTTATAATCATGTTTTGCTGTTGCTAGTAGGTAGTATGTCATTCTCCAAGAAGATTCAGGAGTGCAATGCCATGGTCTTAACAGTCCCATGCAATTTAAAACCCTGAATATTATTTTAAGTTTATTCCTACATTATGATAAATAGGCAGTGGTTATCAGTGACTGATTACAAAGTTATACTTTAGACACCTCAGTTGTAAAAAATATTACAAACCAAATTTGTTAAAATCTAGTTTCATTCAAAGAATCATTTACAAAATAAAGCATACTTAATTCAAATCTACCTAAAATAAAAACTAGTACAACAAACATACATCTACAACCAAATAACACATTTTCAATTTTTGCTGTGTGTCAGCCAAAAAATATATTTTAGAAAATGAAGATATTCGTACAGATAGTGCATCTCTTTAATATTTCTTTCATTATGTATGGGATTTGTGTTTGGTTTCCTGAGTTTTATGCAGACAGTTCCAAAGTATTACAAGTCTTGTAGATATTATATGTTTGGTCCAATATCCTCATTCTGTACCACACTAAATTCAAATCAGTTTTCTGAAACTGCATTAATAAATTCTAAAAAAAAGTGTAATGATATTGGGCCTTGCAAATGATTATGTAGCTATGCTTATAGAACCATAGAAAATCAAGCTTTTTCCTCATATTACTATGTATGGGTATAATTGCATGGCTTTGCTTCTATATATACAGATATACGGACAGAAACAACTACCATGATGTATACTATAGCACTGGAAATAATGGCAGGTGAGTGTGTAAATTAAGGTACATTGCATGCTGTATCAGAAATAACAAGTACGTACCAGTCACCCTTTTCTTCTAGAATGTTTTGTTCCATCTGAATTTTATTTAGTTATGCTATTTCTAGATGTAAGTTTTATAGCTATTATAAGTATACTATGTCACATAAGAATCTATACATATAAAGAATAATGTATAGACTTGTAACATGTTGTATATATTTCTTTATTTGAATTCTAGACCTGGGGCACCACCTCGACCACACCGTTCTGATGACCACCGAGCTGCTGGATACTACTGAGCTTGTTTTTTTCTTCTAGGTAATAGTTCATAAATAAAAGTTCACTGCAAGTGACCATAAAGAAAATACTTATTCTTATAAAGATGTTTCTTATGAAGCCACAAAAAAATGGAAATACTTCATGATTACTTTAAGTAAAGTTATTTAATATTTTATTCTGTTCTTTTTTCTCTTTGTTTTGTAGACTGATTACATTTTTGAGAAATGTTAAAATTAGAATACATTTACATACAAGAATTGTTTGGTTCCAGTTTCAACAGATATGAAAATTCAACAATCAGTATTTCTTTGCTTCTCATTAAAGAAACATTCAATGTGCTTTTTAATGTATTACAATGAAGAGATGAATGGTAACAAAAAGAACAAAGACAATAATATTTAGAAATATTATGAAAAGCTCTTGCCAATCTAAGACTTATTTGTCTATTTACAAAATATGATTCAATGAACTAAAATATATACTGTAATAAAACTACAAGCTTTGCTATCTCAAATGACATTTCAAGTCTATTAGGACAATATTATATATCTTGAAGTTAAGAAAGTAACTCCTATATAGGCTTACATAACTTGTTTTTAGAGTAAATGCATTAGAGGTCTTATTAGATCATTTTTTTGGTTAGGTATGTGGTTTTGCTTAAAATGCTTTTTAAGTTGTATTGTGGTTCATGTGAAATAAAATGAATTAATCTTTAGGACTCACCAATTCTTTAATTAAATTATGTTTTGCTCACATTATGTAAAACATTGCCCACAAAAATGTTTGTTAATATATATATATATATATATATATTGGATTTCTTTCAACATTATTGATATTCATTGTTGAAGGTTTATTATTAGCTGATATCTGGAGAGCAGGCACAAAAAAATAGAATAATTCCCAAACATATTATCTGGCTAATGGTATTTTAATAAATTTCTTAACATTATTTTATTTTTTATCCCCCAGAAAGATTACGAAAAATGGATCTGAAAAAGGAGAAATGATACATGAAATGTCTTTGTTTATCCTTTTGTATTTCTTAAAAAAAAGAAATAAAAATCATAGTTTTTACAGTGTTCAAACAAACATTTACAAATAGGCATTGTAATATACTATACATGTTCATAGAAAAAATTGTTCTTGCTATTAAATCATCTTCTCAGGAAAATTCTTATGCAGACACATCTGTAAAATAAGACCAAATATATAAATATATCAGGTGTTTACTTTCAAATGTTATATACAACATTTCAAACAACTGTATCAGTAGAAAGTTCCAAACATTTATCAATCCAATTAAATATGTACAATTTACCGCATTTTTCCTCAACTATACTTATTCAAAGAAATATTGAAATTTTCCTGAAAAAAAATTCAGCATAGAAATATGAAAGAATTATGAACACCAACCGTTACTGTGGATTAGGATTAAGAACATCAAATCCAACAAAATCATTTGCAGTTTTGACACCAACTGCAAAGAAGAGAATACTCTTCACCAGGGACCTGAAAATTATATTAATATTAGTACACATTACACATAAATTTACTTCCCGTTTCAAGTGTATGCATAAAAAGGAATAACATTCATAATTTAATTAGTTGAAACCCTATGGTGTCCTACACTTTGATCTGATAATAATCCAAATGTCCCACGGAAATCACTTTACTATCGGAATCACTATCATGTTATGTTAAACACTAAATGTTAAGCTGAGAAAGCCGTGGTGTAGCTCTTGGATGGGTAAAATTCCACCCACAATATTATGCCACCTAAGCTAACATAGTAATTTGTAAATAGTGTTGAGGAGAGGGAAATCCTCCCCACCCCCCTAAAAATGTATAAAACAATATGAATTTATCCCAATTGGCATGGATGGCAAGCATACATGCCAAGCCTACTGTAATACAAGTTCATTTATTGTCTTTACACATAGATGGTTCTACAAGTGCTTAGTCACCAAGGAGTTGGTTCCTTGATTTTTGGAAAGTGCCTTTTGAATTATTTCATTGTCTTTCATACTATCAAGATTTTAATAACAATTCAATAATAATAATAACAGTATCAATATCAATATCATTAAAAAAACAACACATTTTCCTGCTAATTCAAGAAATAGGGAAATCAGGATCCGTCACTAGGGCATACTGCTAGACTCTTGCTGGCTGAGCATATGTGTCTCAAGAGTAGGGGCAAAGGATGGTGGGGGTGATTGTGTGGTAGGGGAAGAGGGGGTGGAACGTTTGTTCTGTCTGTTACGGGTAGTGCAAGGAGGGAGAGGGGAAGGTGTTGGGGTTGTAGTGGTGATTGGAGTATCTGTAGTAGAGATTGGAGTGTCTGGATTTAGGATGGCAAAAGAGTTTGACTGGGGAAGGTAGGAGGTAGAAGTGGGGGAGTTAGATGTAGGAGGGGTGGGTTTAAGTGTTAGAATGAGCAGCATAACTGGAGTAAGGAGTAAGAGAGAATCCACGTCGACGTGCTTCCTGTCTGGCTTCACGTAGTGTGAGTCCAAGTTTGAATCTGAGAGTTGCTACCTCAGATTCAAATTTGTAGGTGGGACAGCCCCTATAAAATACATTATGGGGACTGCCACAGTTGGCACATGTGCGTGATTGTGCAGAGCAGTTAGATCAGGTATGGCCAGGTTGGGCACATTGTGGGCATCTGGCTGTGGAACGGCAATGTTTGGCTGGGTGTCCTAGACGCCAACAATTTTGGCACTGACGTGGAGGAGGTTGGTATGGACGAACAGGGAGGGATTCTCCTCCTATGTAGACGTTAAAGGGAAGGTCATGTCTACGGAAGGTAATTTTGGCTATATTAGTGGGATTCTTTCTATGACCTCTAGGGGGAATGGAGTAGCATTGTACTGATGTTGCATCGTAGTCTGTGAGACAGGCAAGTAGATCTTCTCCACAATCTGACCAATCTTTGTCATAGATTGGGCAATTTGCTGGGGAGATTGAGACTGTTCCGGTGCAAGTATTGAGGGTTGGATGGGGTTCTGCAAGGATGGGGTTACCATATAGGTCAGTTAGTTTTGTTAATGCTATAGCTTGGTTTTCGGATGTTACTGTGACAAGACGGGAGCGATCGGGTCAGCTACGGAAAGAGACTTTACCTACTTGTTTTTGGAGGCAGTGTTGGAAGAGAAGGGTGTTGTCAGAGTAGGGAGCTGTGGGAGGGATCACGAAAAATCGGTCCCATTTGGCTGCACTAAAGAGAGTATTCAAGATTGTTTTAGAGATAGGGGTGGTAGAAGGGCGGGGGCGTGACGAAGATGAAGTAGTGTTGAGGGAGGTAGTGTTATGGAGAGGTGGGCTATAAGGCTGTAAGGTATTAATAAGGGAGGATGGGGTGGTTGATGTTGGAGGTTGTGGGGGTAGAGGTGTTGAAGTTGAGCATGCTGGGAGAGTGGAAATGTCCCTTGAGGGTTGATTGTTGGCTACTGTACTAGTAGGCATTGGTGAAGGGGTAGTTATTGCAGTGTTCGGAGCCGTGGTCAAAGGAGAGCCTGGGGTCGGGGAATCGGGTGGGTTTACTTCGTTGGGGCTATTTGATAAAGGGGCAAGCCTCATTGCCCCTAACAGTGGGGATATATTTTCATTATTGGCCATGGTAAGCCTGGATTATGTTGGGGATAAAAACAGTCCACCCCTCAGGGTCCCCTTGAGGGGTAAGGGCTAGATAACTAAAATCAGGGGAATACCGTGCCCATGGCTCCCTCAGGCTGTTCACGACTGGCACAAAGTCAACCTTTCATCCTTTCAGCACGGCTCTCACACCTTAGGAGGTGGATAACAGAAGGGTTTGGTGAAGGGACAGAAACAAAAGTGGGAAGGGAAAAAAAGACCATGCATAATTAGTTGAGGCGAGGGCTGAGTCCCAAGGTTGGGGAGTTCCCCATCATTGGGTCCCAGTCTCCGCCTCCTAAGCCCCCCCACGACAACAACGGGCAAGGGATTGGGGGGGTCTGTCCAATGGTATAAACAGACTTTACATCTGTGGGGAACTTTTTACATTAGTCTTTCTCTATGGAGCAAGCAAATGTCTGAGAAAAATGTGATGTAACTTTAACATTTAAATTGTATAAGAAACCATATAGTGTATAGTGTAGTCTGCTGCATGAAGGTATGACTTATCTTTTGGAGTTGGTGGAAAGTCTACTGAAAACTGAACACCACAGAAGCCTTCCAAGTAAATGCTATGCCTCCATGCCTAGTGTTCTTATAAGTGCAAGCAAGCCTCCATTATTCATTTAAACAATCCAGAGTTTGGTATGATTTCTTATTTGATCAACAGATTGTCAGGTAGGTGTACAATTTTTTTAATAGAATATGCATAGTGGAAGTACTTATCATGAGAGTGCTGTGAGGCATGGAGGCCACAGCAATTATCTGATGCCACACCACTTTCATTACCCCTAATACTAATAGTATGGATGGGTTCCATGCACTGAAACTTCTTTATCTGAAACGTATATATAAATTCAACTTATCCTTCAAGGGAGATCCCACTAGTCTTGTCTATCTCAGTAATCATAAAGACCAAGCTACTCTATTGGGATTGACATAAACCAAGATGAAATTCCTGGCCTGCTGCAACACACAACAAGAACAGCTGTACTGGTGTTTTGTCCTGGCTACAGATAGTGCCAAAATAAAACTATCATAAAATTATTTGTAGGCCCTTTACATGATATTCTAAAGAGCAATTATTATATTATAGTAAATATTATTATTTTGTTGATTATTATTATGATGTGCATGCTTTGCATTATATTACTTTTCAAGGATAAACCCACACTTCCTTTGTCAGATCTCATGCCTTCTCCTACCATTGTTGATACAAGAACATCCCCCCCCTGCCTTCCTCATCCCATGGTCATTGTTGTCGTGGTGGGGTTTAGGAAATAGAGACTAACCCAATGTAGGGAATCGCCCTTGCTTTGGACCTGGGTCCTCACCTCAACTAACTTTGCATGGTCTTTTCTTCTCCCCCTTTCCTTTTCTTTTTCTTCTTCATTTCCTTATTCTGTCCACTTATCCTAACTTTTTACCCTATTTGCCACAATACTTTACCGTAATGCTATTCTTGGGGGTTTCACCCCCAAGCCACATCCTATTGCTGTATTTTAAATACACCACTCATAACCTAAA